TGAGCAGTGATCTCAATCATAATATTTAGTGGTGATAATATGAAAATATCAAAATTTATAATTAATGAATTATCTAAACAAATATAAAGATTTACTTATAGATCAGAAGCATTCACCATGTCCGGAGTTTACGATAAATCAAGTTTTCTAATAGGTAAACCACATTTTATTGCATATAATAAATTAATTATCTTCTCAGAAATTCTATTTAATTAATTCAAGTATGAAATAATCAGTTATTTGACTCGTAGAGAATTTCAAATATTCAATGTACATGATACAACAAATTAAGAAATTATACAGAGCAAAAATTTTACTATAAGATAAGAATTAAATTAAAAGAATAAATCAAGTATTAAAATGAATATTGAATCAATAATAAGTACCGCGCTTCATTGAAAGTATCTCTCTTAAACTTAATTGGGCCTTTAGCAAGCCATTGAACTAGAAAGAAAAACTAAAAAAGAAAGAATGAAAAAAGAATAATAATCACTCAAATCCTCCCCTTTCAATAGATGAGAGTCTTTATTTATAGTAATATAAATTATAGGTATAGGTAAAAGATATAAAGTTGGCTTGACAAGAATTCTTTTCCCAAAAAAAATTCTTTTAAAGTTAAAACTCGTGCATAAAATCTTGAGGGTTGCAGGTACAAAATCTGTCTAGACTTCGAGCTTGAATTTCGTATATTTAGGGGTCAAATCACAAAATAATCACAAAATACACTTTTGCAACCCTTGAAATCTAACTTTAAATAATTTTTTTTTCTAACTTAAATTGTTATAAGGATTAAATTGCTGATTTATCTTCAAGTCTTCCTATCTCAATCTTGACTCTTAAATCTTTATTTATTATGATTATTCTTCTAGTGATTGCTTCACTTGCCTAATGTATTATTACTTTAAATTAATCAATTTACCTGTAAAATAAGACAAACAATTAAAAAAAGTATCAAACTAAAAAATCAAGAAATTTAACACATTTAATCACAAATAATATTAAATTAACCAATATTTAAATAACACCTTTGATGGTTAATCATGGTGCTTATATTTACTAGGTTGATATTTAATATGTATAGAGAGAGAGAGAGAGAGAGAGAAAGAAAGTTCAGCTTCCACTCAGCCCCACACCCATGCCCCATCTATCCCAAACTCATTTGACATCAGCTATTCCCACAACGTGCGCGCACACGCACCACTGACTACCATATTTCACATGCCCACCACCACCATTCCACCACCACAACCCTTGCATCAACACCCATCATAAAACCCTCGATTCAATTTGCCCTTTTTTGCTCTTATCTCAACACGGAATGATGCGGTTTACTCGAGAGAGAGAGAGAGAGAGGGGGGGGGGGAAGGTGTCGGATAACGATATAAAGCGGCGCCGGTGGCGGAAGAGGTACGAATTGGTAAGGAAAGGTGGCAAGGGGTGAGTTCTCTCTCTCTCTCTCTATATATATATATATTAACAAACTTAATATATAGATACAAAAAAATATAAAGTTAAGGGCAAAGTGGTAAAAGAAGCATTTTCAATGGGGTTTACTGGAGAGAGAGAGAGAGAGAGTGAGAAGGGGCGTCGGATGACGCTAAGAAGGGGCGACGATGGCAGAAAAGGTGTGAATTGGTAAGGAAAGGTGGCGAAGGGGTGGATTCTCTCTCTCTCTCTCTATATATATATATATTAACAAACTTAATATATAGATAAAAAAAATAATAAAGTTAAGGGCAAAGTGGTAAAAGACACATTTTCGTCATATCCGTTACTCGATCAAAACTGACAAAGGGTGTTAGTAAAATTTCAAAATTAGAAAATGATGTCATTGAAATTAAACCTATCTACAGAGGGTGTGGATGAAATTTTTTCAACACTGTTTTATCATTTTATATTTTATTATTAACAACCACAACCACAATCATAAAATAATAAATAATATTATTTAGATTTATATATTCTACTATAATTGTTAAATTAATAACAAGTCTTAATGAATAATGAATTTATTATCAATCCAATAACTACGACTGATTAAATTAATAAATTAAGTTAATGTTATTGTATAATAATGAGTGAAATTGTCGTAATCGTAAGTTGGAGTTATAGTGTGTTAGGTTAGGTTTTTAGATTCTAACAACATTATTCAAATAATGCGCATAAGTTAATCCAAATAATGTTTACCGTTGAAAAAAAAACATTACTCAATTGTAATTGCTTATATAAACTCTGTAACCATTATTTTTTTAAGTTTAACAATCAAAACTTAAAAGTGTTTAGACTAACTCTGTAATCATTAACAATATACAGATATGTCATTACAGTAATTATTAACGACATACCCGTTTTAAGATATACGTAATGACTTATAAATTACAGTGGCGGCTTTGCTTAGAAGAAGTTATTTTCACAAGCCACTTTCACTATGTCCATGAATCCTTTGACATATACACGTGGGAGGGGTCATAAGATTGGGGGATGTGAGAGTAACATCCCATTTACAATCTGTGATTCAATTTTTTCCTTTACACCACCACTACAGAGATAATAGGAAGCCTTATCAATATCCTCTCTTTCTCTCTCTCCCCATCAATATCTCTGTCAACATCAGTACTCTGATGAAGCTTTCAGTGACATAGTAACAGTATCAGACTTTGTCTCTCTCCGTTTCTGGGTTTGTCGATGAACTATTCGCCAACAGTCTGATGGCTCTGCAAAAACTGTTTTTTCTTTTTTTCTTCATCCAAAAGCAATCTGGAGGAACAATTTCTAAATCAGTACCGGCCCAACCTTTAGGCCACTTTGGCAGTCGCCTACGCCTTCAAATTAAAAGAAAAATATGGAACCTGAAAAAAAAAAATAATAATTATTTTAAAATATAATTTAAATATTTAATATATTTTAATTATTGAATTAATAGTGAATGTTAAGTTTAAATAAAAATTACCATTTATCTAATGTACTTAATCTTCAAATTAAGTGTAACTAGCATTATTGTAAAATTTTTAGAACCTCTTTTAAAAAAATTTAGGCCCTAAAGTTCAACTTATTTTTTTTTCTCACCCGATATTTATATTATATGTATTATCACTTTACAGTCTTCTTATCAAAATCAATTGTCTATCGTATAATAGATACGAATAATAATTTTATATTTGTATAAGTTAAATTTGAGGTCATTTTTTAATAATTTTGGTTACGATACACAAATGACTATAAAATAGAGTGAGTATAAATAATACACTAACTATCTTAGATTGATTAACCATAGTTGTCTTACTAAAATTTTTTATTTTAAAATTACCCTTTTTCTCTATGATATCTAACAATATCTTATTTATTTTAGGACTACTCAACTTGTATAAATTTCTATTTTATATACATTTATAAAAAAAATATTTTACTAGTCAACCTAATTTTCAATTATGTTTTTTTTTATCTTAAACAAATAGTATGGATTATTATATTTGATCTTCGTATTTAAAATCGATTAACACAATTTTTATTTATAAAATTTGAATTAAAATGCTATATCTCAAAGGACAAAATAAATAATTTGTAAATAAATATTTGTAATAAATTTTTAATATTATTACTAATATAATATTTATACGCCCTCGTATAACATTTTCGCCCATGACCCAAATTAACTTGGCCGCTCCTGGTCTGAATGAATATCATCATTATATTATCTGTCCTCCAGCACTCTGCACCTTGTTTTTCTTCTCAGTCCTCAGCACTCCCCTGCCCTCTTGCCGGTTATGTAAGCTTTTCCGGCCAGTTAAATGATCGCAACCAACCCACTCGAGTCAAAGTTAAACCGTTGGTTTGCTGTTTCTGTTTGCAGTCTATTAAAAGCTTTCCTAGTTCAAATTTTCAGTATCATCTCTTTTTTTTTCTTTCAAATTTTTTTAATGAAAATTTGACACGCTTAAAAATTATTTATTTTAATTTAATTTATTATTTTCACTGTTCATGACTGAAAATAAATAAAAGAAGATCAAAGGGGTCAATTATTTGGGGATAGAAAAAAAAATTTACAACTTTCATTCACTCGATACTAATTATTCATGCTACATTTAGAAGAGGAGATTTGGGAAGCTTCAAAACCATCTTTAGGGAGCCTCTGATGGGAAAAAATATTTATTACAACGGTACTATCACGCGATAATGTTGACGTAGTATCATTAATTAATAAAATCAAAAGAAATAAGTAAATGTATTCCACAAAAATAATAACCAACCGTTTACGGAAGCAAATAACTACTTACTGTTTTTTCATGTAATCAAATAACTATTTCAATGAGATTCACTATACTCATTTATTGTTTTGTTTTTGATTGATAATACTACGTTAGTATTGCTGACATAATATCACCGTTGTATTGAATATTTTCTCATGTGATGGGATGCTACAACTCCGATCATCAATGCATCGACATCTCACTTTCGAGTCTCGCAGTAGGCGTCATGTTTAAGTTGATGCTCATAAATTTACGGTGATTGCACACATTCAAAATTTATATAGCAGTTATGGGTCAAAAAACTTGTGATTGTGGCGGTTCTCAATCACAAAAAGAAACCATCTTAGGAAAAAAAAAACATTGAAGACAACCTTTATTGATTTACCTCAATAACCAGAATTGCCAGGGAGATGAGTTGGATATATGTAGTAAATACTGATAAACAATGGCTACTAGTGTTATGTTTCATGACTGCAAAGATAATTGAATTCTAAGCCCAATTACTGTTTTGCTTTTTCTGGAATTTGGAAACTATGGAAAGAAAAAAAAAGGAAACCCAAGCGGGGTTGGACCTCTATGCCGTTTTAGTATACAGTTCGTGAGAATTGGCAGGAATTAAAGTAAAGAAAGTGCACTAATAAAGACTAAGAATGAAACAAGAGCCTTCCTCGTTGAGACAGGGCCTGTTTTTGTACATGATTAATCCAAAAGTCCTAACAACAGTTCAAAAATTCAAGAACAGGATAGAAAACAGAGAATTTAAAGGTTAAAACCTAAATGGGTTTCAATTTCTAACTAAGATGATCACAAAAACAGTTCTTTTTGAGCTAGAAGATGTGTTAAAAGTCATCATCAGTTCATGTTGTTCCATTGCTTATGCCCCGGAATCCATTTTGGACACTTTGGACTGAAGTAGCTAGACACAATCCTTGAGTTCAAGAGCTCAACAATTGGAGCAAATTTGACACACCGGGGTGTCTTGTACTGGTTAATTGAAGCACCTAAGCTAATGGCATAGTCCATGAGCTTATCAAACGTCCCGGCTTCCACAATCTTGATCTCCAAAGGGCCAATTGATTTATCGGACACACGGCCTTGGCGGTACACACTGTTGAGGGACTCTTCGACGGTGAGGCAACAGTCCTCAAAAACCGAGGGAGGGATTGGGGTTGATCCATTGAGTTTGAGCTCCCAGTAGAGGACATAGTGGCCTGGAATTGTCGAAGTGTCTGCATAGCTTGAGTATTCTGTGAGTGTTGCATCAAATGACATAAGATGATTCAAGGCATTTTTCACTGCATTTTGAAGCTCAACTTCGTCGGTCTTGTCGGAATCAATGCTCAGAACCACGTTTTTTCTGCAAATGAAGTTGAATTGGGGAGCTTTGTTCTTGAATCCAGCAACTCTTAGCACGTCTCCTACCCTATATCGATAAAGTCCTGCAATACCATTTGTAATTTAGAGCACAGTGAATGAACATAATTCATGTAGCCGATTCTAAATAGTTAAAATAAGACTCTATTGGGTTGAGTCCAGTCGTGAATTTATTTAAATCACGAAAGCCAAAATTTACCTGCATAAGTGGTGATAACAAGCTCGTATTCTTGTCCGATCTTCACATCAACGAGATCAATCAACTCTTGCTGTTCTTTCTCAGCAAGGGATTTGGGCGTATTGATAGGAGTGGTGACACCATTGTCCCTGTGGACAGGTAAGAACTCGAAATAGGCCATGGTGGGGATGAGGGTATAAGAGACTTCACTAGGCTTGCAAAGAGGGTTAAGGTTGACACCAAAATAGCACTCTGAGGAGGCATACATTGTGCACACAAGAGGAAGGCCATTGCTATAGAAATCCAGAGTGGGTATATATTGTGACATGGTCCCTGTCACAATAACATCCACATACTTGGTGTTAGGCCATAACCTCGTTATAATCCCTTGCCATGACTCCTTACTACACTCGGCCTCGATGAAATCAGCTAACTTCGTGTCTTGTTTGAGGATTTTCATCACGGCCTCTCTCACCGATGGGTCTGTAATTTGAGGGTTAATGACCCCAGTTCGGATATCGTTACAGAGAAGGGTCCAGTGCTTTTCGAGGAACTTGATTGCTCGAATGAAGCCCGAGGCAAACACTGCACCAACACGCAGAACTTCCTTGTTTAAGCAGAGGCCACAAAGCATTTGGGAGTACATGCTTTGGTATGAATCTGGGCAAAGAATGGTTTCATTTGGGCTAGTGTAGTTGGTATAGGGGTCATAAGGCCTATCCTTAAAATGAGAACTTTTGTAGTAACATGTGAGAACAGGCCTGGCCACTAGTCCACTAGGTGTCTTCGCCTCAGATTTTATGAACAAGAAATACATTCCTTTGCCTTTGTCTAAACCAGGAACAAACTGGTTCATTACAGGCATCAAAAGGCTATAAAGCAATGATCTCCTATCCAGCTCTTCTTCAATGGTGGGCATCAATTTTCTCTCTCCTCCAGATGTCCCAGAACTGCAGATCAAAAGTCAAAAACAACCCATTAAGCCATACCACCTTAAAAACCAGATACAAGATCAAAACATAAAAACACACGCACACACACACACCCCACCCCCCAAAACACAATTTATATATGACAACAATCCATATTCCGACACGAACCTTGTCAAGAACTCTGAAATGGGCTGTGAGGAGAGGATAGGAGACTTATCGCCATTGGAGATACGGTTGATATCAGGCTGAATGTCTTCATATGTTATCACAGGCATGACTTTCTTGAAGGTCTCTCTATCAGTATGCCCACTGAGACCATGTCGTTCTAGGTACTCGACATGGGCATTACGAGATAAGATTTCAGCTAGAACTCGCTTCTGGACTTCATCGGCGGTTATTGTGACGTCTTCAATGAACTGAAGAACCTTCTTGTTCTTCTCTACGATGCTATATTCTTTGGCCTTAGGTGTGTTCTTTGGAGCCTCAGGCATGATCTTTCCACTGTCTCAGAGATGTATGCCAGCAGCTATGGGAGGGAGAGAGAGAGAGAGAGTTGTTACAGAAGAAAAGATGGTTTGGGTTGTGGGGGAGAAGAACAGAGAAGTATGTTTATATAGAGCAAACAACGGGCGTGGCTGTGGTCCACTTTGTAGCGTTTAAAAGCGCAAAGAAATAGTACGAATGGGATGGCTTGATTGTAATAAACCTGCCCTTTATGACGATTTTTCTTTTTCCATTAAATAAATAGAATTTCCATCCTACCATTTCTTTTTCCATATTTCGAAAAGGAATATTCGAATTCATTTTTTTTATTCGATTAAAGACTTACCATCCTTCTAAATATTACGAAATTTAAGGCATAGTCATTGATGTATTTCTCCCCAAATTTTCCACAATTTAAAGAGATTTCTACATGTCTAAACTTTATATAGATACCATAGTATTAATTAAAATTAAAATTTTATAATATTAGAATTAAACCCAATCATAATTATAATTTCATTAAATTGAATCATATCTTTATCATTATTTTCCGAATCCATACCATAATTGTTCTATTACTAGAGAAGGTATTTGTGTTTAATCTCATTGAAACTACCATTCTTTTTTGAGTCAAACTATAATATTGAAAAATAAAATTTTAATTTATTATTTTTTTATCTTACTTTGCTACATCAATATTATAATCCTCCTCACTAAAAAAAAATCCCATTTAAAAATTTTCTTGATAATTCCAACCAAATTATATTTATTCCTGGGGATCTGTGCCCCTACTGTTCTTTCGGTATACAAGGAAAACCAGTTCAATGTGACGGGCAATCTCCGGTAAACCCGCCGTAAATATCACCGGCTACGTGCGTGCTTGTACCGCGGAGCCAGCTTGCTTCCCCATTATGTTCCTTTCCCGGCGGGACAAAAGCGTGGTTTCAGTTCCGATTTCTTGAAAACATATTTATTATAATGATTATATTGAAATTAAGATAAGTGTTATCGATTAATAATAAAATAATAAATAAGTAATTGTTATTATGAATGTTTATTTCAATATCTCGTGTTTGTACTGTACTTATGAATTTCATGGTTCACAAATTGGTCTCGACAGCTGGCTACCACTTGGGTTATCAACACGTGTACGAATGGTAATTCAGTTGATGGCATGAGTCTATTGTTTTCAGCATCTGGCTTGCTGCCAAGGTGGCTTGGTGGACACGTGTACGTATGGGGATTTTTGGGGGGTACGGATCATAAAACATGAGTTTCTCATTACTTCCATTACCATTAACCTAATTTGGTATTCAAATTCAATAAAGCTTTCAAACTTGTTTTATGAATAATATTTGTATACTAGTAAATTGCTTAGAATGGAATTGTCATACATTCAAATCACAATAAAAAATTAAAAAATAATATTAAAAATAAAATAAGTTATACTATAAAATGAGAAGGACCAATGTCATTTAATTCAAATCAGGTCAACGATTTGGTCTCAAAACTTTGTCACGAACTCTTTTAATTTTAGTCTCAATTCTATTGTTTAGGTCTTTTAAGTCTCTGTTTTTTTCCTTTTAAGTAAACAAATCCAAAAATTAATATTAAATCAAAGAATATTTTGAATTTAATGTCGTCAGTTTCGTTAGACTTCAAATGACAGGTATTTTTATGTTAACTAAATAGATTTTATTTTTGAAAAAATATATTGTAATTAGAAATTTTATTTCTATTAAGAGAACGATTAGAATTTTGGTCGCTCTATATATAATATTTTAATTATTCGTTTGGTACAATGAAAAAGTGGATGGAAGTAAAGTTAGATGGATAAATAAAACATCATATTTGGTAACGAAAGAAAGTAAGAAGGATAGAAAAGTTGATGAATTAACTTTTTTTTCTAACTTACCAAAATCAATCCCTCTAAAATCGAAAGAAAAGTGGATGTAAAGTTAATTATTTTTGTTGAGATGTATCTTATTTATCTATATATCTTATGTATACATTAATTTCATATAAAAATACAATGGTAAAATATGTATATATATTTTAAAAAATTTTAAAAATTAATTTTTAAAAAAATAAAAAAAAAATTTAAAAATTATAAATAAAAATAAAAATTTTAAAAAAAATAAAAAAATTTTAAAAAATATTTTTCCCATCTTAACTAAGGGTGAAAATTTTCGATTCAACACGATAACACGAGTCGAACTCGATACGAAAATAAATAGTTTAACTTGAAACTCGACACGACATAATTAGTTAAATGAGTTAAGTTAGGTTTGACTAATATTCGACACAAACTCGTAATTACTCAACACGAATCTGACACAACACAACACGACTCGACTCTATTATCACCCCTAATCTTAGCCAGCACAAAAAAAAAATAATCATTTTTATTTTTCATTCATCTAACTAAACACAAAAGAAGAAAAATGTATCTTTACTACTTTTCATCTTTGAAAGATAGAAAGTGTATCCCTTCTATTTTTCATACTCCCTACCAAATAGAGCATAAGAGTATTCATCTTCTTTTTTTTTTTGTAAATTCAGAATGTGTAATTTTCAAAAAAAAAAAAAAAGATGAAACGATAATTTCTTTGTATTCTTCATTTACCGCCGTGTCACTTTTGTATAACAAATTATTTTTTCACAATGACAAAATACACATACAGGTTATTGATACACAATATACCAAAAATTATTGTTTGAATTTATGTGAACTTGGATAGATGTTATGGATAAGAAGTTGATAGGAGGTGCAATCAATGGATGCATTGACTATGAGGGAGTAAAACACGTGGTTGTTTCTTATTAGTGTAATAAAAATAGTAAGTAGTAAGGAAAGCTACGTCAAGCCGTTTTGGTTATTTGAATAGTTAGGAGTAGGAGTAGGAGTAGGAGTAGAGAACACCAAAGGAAGTTTTTTTTTTTTTTTTCTCCAGATAATAAGGATCGAACTAAATTGACTCTGTACTTTAAGGTATCCATATCCCAGAAAAGAAGGAAAAACAAACACCAGTCAATAAATCTAACTGGTACTGAACGTTATATTAATCTTTTTGAGAGAAATTATGTTGAAATGGAA